GAGTGAGTGGAGGGAGTAAAGGACTAAGATGAAGAGAAACAGGCAGAGAAAGGCAGAATTTTGTGTATAAGTTTAACAGAATGAGAGGAAAGCAGCATTAGAAAAAGCTGCATCTTCGATAGCAAGCTAAATTAATATGAATTATTTTAAACATGATTACATGCTGCCGGTATTGTTGTAAGCAGTTTAAAGGCCTCTTCACACCAAGGATGAGTCCATACCGCAGCTATTTAACATTTAAGGACACAGAGGAACAATATTGTTGGAATCTCTTTTATGTCGTTGGATATTGATGGATTTGTTTTGTTTTTTCCAGCTGATGAATAATAAAAGCATTGACAGCCAATATTAGAATTCATTCAACTTTAAAGAGCTCAAGCATTTAAAGTGGCAGACAACAAATCTGCAGCACATGCTTAGAATGAACAGTGCTATTGTTCATCAGTGTGGAGGCTAACATAGTCACTGTTTTAGTTATTTTATAGTTATTGTTCTTGGTGTGAACGGGCTTTAAGAGTGCCACCCAAGCTACTGGGTCCACACTTACTTTATTAGCTTTTTACAGTGCCTAGTGACTCCCTCTGTTCATGGGTGTCTATAATTAATCAATAATCAAATTAAACAATACCAAAATGCATTCAAATATTAATATTTATTAAGTTTAACACATATTTGTCAATGCTAAACATTCCTCATTTATCTGTAATATAAATAAGATGCTAAAATTGTTATTTATACAGTGATACTGTCATTCAGTGTAATGGATGACACTGTGGTGTAACAGAGAATTTGCATTACACTGCATGACAAAACCATTACCCTGAATGACGAAACTTCTACTTCAGCTTATATTGCAGGCAACCAAATGGAAATGGCCACCTATTTCAAACAGTGAGCATGACCAGTTAATCACAATTATTCACAGCATCTACTTGTTTTTCAAAAAATCTAACATTAAAAGTGTTTTTTGGCATTTCACTGAATGACGTGTGCTTTTGCAACAGCGTAAGGCTGTCTACACTGGACGTGACAAAACAACCATTGCAAATCATTTAAATTTTTTGTCAGTACTTCATAGATAGAACGAGGCATCAGTTTAATGTCGAGGATTTGTCGTGTCGCACCGCATCCAGTGTAGACAGCATCACTGATTATAATGGGTTCTATAGTATTTCCGCTCACGCCCGGTGTGGACACGGTGTCAGTGACCTTGTGCATTTACTTGTGTAAAGGCTTTACATTGTTTATGTTTTTACTAAAGCTTTTTTATTTATGACAAATGCTGCACAAGGTCACTGATAATCAAATAATTTGTTGAATGAATGTTTTGATTCATTAAAACTGAATTGCTACTGAAGTTTAAATCAGAGATGCTGATATTTGAAAAATGTAAAATATCGGCTGACCACTACTTTAGACATTACAGTCATTCATTATAAAATAAACTGACTGAAACAGCCAAGAAAACATTGCTCACCCACTAACACTGAGAGCTAATTTGCTGCAGGACTCCAATACATGGACCAGCTCATCAGAAACTGCCTCTATTTCCAGCAGTTCACTGTCATGTATAAAGAGAGAGATCATACAAACATCTGCACATGGAAATGCTTAAAAACACCCTGTTTTGTCCATGATATATTTAGTGTTCCACACCAGGTTTTACTTACATTATGCAATCCATTTTTCAGCATGCATGTTTAATCAATACATGATCTTATAAAGAAAATAACCGGCAAGGCCTCTGATACCACTGAATTTACTGTCCTTTAAACAGCAGCATCATTTATAGCCAATAAAATTCAAGTCTCACCCATTGTGAGATTAGCATTATAGCTTTATAACGTTTGTTCCTGACAAATATAGTAAGTCACACTTACCATTACCAATAAGACACATAGGCCTACCTCAGAACATAATGCGTCATACAACAGCTTACGGTCTCTAAACAACTTGGAACTTGACCTTCTTCTGTGGAACACTAAACACAATATTTTGAACAATGTTTCTGTCAATACAATGAAAGTCAGTGTGGTCCAAAACCACAGTGGACCCCACTAAAACATTTAGTAGAATCTACAGGTTTTGTAGAGTCATACAGGTTTGAAACAACATGATGGTGACAGGATTTTCATTTTGAGGGTGAATTATCTTTATAAAACCATATTAATTGTGAAAAGGCTCGACAAGAATTTTTCTTCTGGCCCAGTCAGGTATATTTTTACTTGCCCCGCTGCCAATTTCACTGGCCCCAGAACAAAAAACATAGTAAATTTATTCTTTGGGATAAACCCCTTGAGATGCATCATCTCATTTTCAAGGGCGTGCTACATATTTTACTTTAATACACATCTGTGCATATGTCAGAAAAACATATGCATGATTTGTGACATCTGATATCATCATTCACTTCAATAACATGAGAAAAGCATCTCTGAGCAATTCTTCTAAATTAGGAATGTGCATTGCCTTCTCATTTATTTTCTTTATCTAAAGGGGATAAAAATTCCAGCTGTTCCAGTGAGGATGATGTGTGAATTCACACAATCCCCCACAGACGTCAGGAACACTGAGTTCCCCAGCACAACACAGCCATTTATGCACTAAATATCTGTATGAGCCTATGCCATGAGTGACAGAGATGATTCAGCAAGAGCAGCCCTTAAAGACTGAAGCCTGGAGGAAAGCCAGCTTATCTGATGCTCTCAGTAGAGGCTAGTCAGTGTCTTTGAGCTACTGAAAGAAAGGCCTCACTCATTTGATATCTGTGGACGCTTATCATTGCTGAGAAAGACACTGCAACATGACCAAGACTCCTTCGAAACATAAACAGTTGTCTATTCAGAGAAGACACAGGCTATAATAAAGCCAGTGGAAATGGCTGGAGTTCAGCTCACAATTAAAGAATTTATGGGTATGGGTGTTTTCATACCAAAGTCCCTTTAAGGCACGTCATTTCACTCGGCGGCCATCTTTGAAACGCCTCTCGGGCATGCAAGTGCAGCTCCTATCTCTCTGAATGGGGAAACATCAAATTCTACAAAACTGTTCGCCAAGCTTACGATTAAATTTCATATTTGAAATCACCAATGAAATCTGACGACAACTGTCATAAATGTTTCAGATCGTTATTTTGTGTATTTGGTGTAACAGAATATGTTGACCTGCTTTAATGTTCAAAAAACACATTATTTTTCAAATACTGTACATTATTGTAGGTCCTCTATGCCCCGCCTCTCTCAAACGCGTCGTTTTCAACAAAGCCCCCTCCTTTGACAAGCGCAGTCTGCTCTGATTGGCCAGCTAACCCAGTGCATTGTGATTGGCCCCGTTTTAGGTAGGCGTGGTTGACTCTTAACTTTTATAAAGAATATCTCTTTGGATTTGAGACTTTAGTCTTTGCAACTTTACAGATCTTATTTATGCACCAAGAGCTTGTAACACTCCAAAGAGAAAGGAAAACTTGAAATCGCATCATATGACCCCTTTTAAAAAAAGCTTATTTTTCAGGCTAGATCAGCCAGTGCGCATGCGCAGTCCTAAGCACATGTTTTTATAGCGACCGAGACTTTTAACGGCAGCTGCAGTGACACGACGACTTTACCGATTAGCAATTGGCTCTTTTATTCAGAAGGCGTGGCTTCCTTCGATATCGAGCGTTGCATTTTTCCCCATTCAAAACACAAGTGACACGTCTTGGGTATTATATAGTCTGTGTTTCATACTTAAGTCTTGGTCTTAAAAAAAAAATCAAACTTAGATTTAAGTGGACTAAAAAGTAAGTTTCCCTTAGTCATGCGCCATTTGTTTTTTGTTTTTTTACCAAAACACTGAAACTGAAATTAAAGCAGAAAATCAATATTGTCAAGGCGGACGTATTTAGAATTGTACTAAAAGGCCTTTTAATTGCTAAAAGGTATGAACTACGGATCAGATGGCAGAAAGCATGTAGTAGATTGAGTAAAACCGGTTTTTCAGTAAAGTTTTCATCATGCTGACAGCTTAGAGGCCATAGAAATTCATGTATCAAATGTCATACAGTAGAATTTTAAAAATCTGTTTTTGTTTGTTGTTTTGTCAACACTATATGGCACTTCTTCCTTCATCAAAGCTCGGAATGAAAAGACGTGCAAGAATGTGTCATTTCCCTCACTACAAGTGTTTTAAAAACAACTATTTCTTTTGACAGTTAAAGAGTTAAATGAGTGTAATAAGGGATAGTGAACATCACTTCGTTTTGTGTGCAGACGTGCGCTTTCCAGATGACCTGCTGCTTCCTTCGGCATCTGTGCATGTAAACGTGATCATGTGCTGTGAATGAGAGCAGCGTGGAGCACCTGTAGATTGCGCACAGCTCGAGACACGTAAAGTCCTGTTTCCTCTGCATCCGCTTTCCACAACACAGGAAGAGCTCTCCGGCAGATCCTTATGGACGCACACACACACAGAGCACCGGGCAGCTCTCTACTGACCCAAACCTCGCGGCTAAATGTGGAAATCAATGCAGCGTCGCGCGCTTAAATCGCCATTTAGAGATCAATGCGTGTGGCTTGGAAACAAATAGTAACAAGCAACCGCTTGAGTCACCGCGCACTGTTTACATGTACACGCGACAAATACAGTAGGTGTGTGCCGAGATTTACATTTAGTGAATGGTGCTAAAACACTCATTTATTAAATAAAAAACACATTATACGGCATGTTATTATGAAAACATTAGCATGAGCGGTGTTGTACATACATATTAAGCAATGGCAATTCTTTTAAACCTCCCATTTACACAAGCACGTACTAGCTACTTAATTCATAAGCACAAACAGCAACAGCCAGTGTTGTTCCCTGCTAAAACCGACACATACTTCCTATTGATACCGATTATAGTACGTCAAAGAAAGTGAAATCCATCTGCTAATCTCTTGAACCACAGCAGCAGCGGTATGGCTTGTTGCTAACGGCTTAAATAAATCACAACACTCCTCCACACTCACACCGCAACTTACCAGACTTGTCCTGGTCGTATCCCACCACTATGAAATAATCAGCCAGTCTAGCCATGGTTTCCTCTTTAGGCGAAATTCTGCAGCACAATTCAGCATTTTTCTTTCTTCAAAAGCACAGCCATGTTTGACACAGAGGGAGCCAGTGCGCCTGCGTGGACTCGCGTGCCTGGGCGTGGGTCCTGCATTCACTTACACGAGCGATAATGAACATACTACACAATCATACCGCGGAATGATTTTCCTTGACGTGAATGATGCCATGTAATATTATATTAACCCAAAATGAATTACTGTTTATTTATTAATTTAGTCTTAGTGTGGACTATGCAAAAGTATGATGAGCACTGAAGCGTCATGCCCTCAGAATTTTCATTTGTTTTTGTGATGCCACAGTATTTCAAATGTAGGCCTAAATGTAAAAGTTCCGAAATAATATTATATACAATATGTGATGATAATAATAAACATTATAAAACATTAAAAAACAATAAAATATTTTTTACACTTATTTCTCAGGTGGGAGAGATGTATTCCAGCTGATCCATAATGTAGATAAGGGCAGGGCAACTTCGGTCCTGGAGGGCCACTGTCCTGCAGAGTTTAGCTCCAACCCTAATCAAACACACCCGAACGAGCTAATCAATGTCTTCAAGATCACACGAGAAGGCTACAGTCAGGTGTGTTTGGAGCTAAACTCTGCAGGACTGAAGTTGCCCAGCCCTGATCTAGATCCTCTGGACCAGCTAATGACCATACATCACCCAGTTAGTAAACAAGTAATAGCCTACCAGCTATCAGTAGAAGGGTAACACATGGACCATATATAATCTCATTTATGCAGAATAGAACAGGAAAGTGAATATTAGGAAATATGTAGACTAAATGTTCATAATCCACCATAAAAAGTTTTAAACACTGCCCCACTCTAAATATTTGTTACAACAGACCCTCACAAATAATTTAATGAAATTTTACCATCCAGTTCTCAATGAAAAACTAAAATAAACATTTCAAATTATTGATTTATATTCTTTATTCTCATTAAGAATAAAGTGTTTTTCCATGTGAAGTGCCTAAAATCCAATTCACCTTGCTAAAAAGAAAAAGAACTAATAAACTATTCTAATATAGTTGTTTAGCTTATCTGTACAACAATTTAATGCTGCATAACCTTTACAAAAATAATGCTTTGCTATTTATTAATATACTGTATGTGATTATACTTTGTTATAAGAATGCTACTTTGATATATAGATTGATTGCCATATTAAATTATTATTGTCATTTATTGTATCTAACCAGGTACTACCATCGTAATACCATGGTTTGTTCAGACTATTTTTCATCTGTTTACACATGATCACTCTAAAACAACAACAGTATGAAGCATAGAGATGACAACTCAATGACATCAGGGTGTCATCTCTGTGACTCATTGTTAACTGTAGCATTCCTAGGCATGTAACACAAGACCTACGTCCCACCTGCATCTGTGGGTTCCCTCATCATACTTCATTAAATATCAACAATCCTTGTGATGGCTACGATATGTTGATTTGGCAAACAATATTTACCATATTTGGGCTGAGAAGCAAACAACTGGATGGTGTCAGTGTGTGGATGTTGTGCAATCTTTGACTTCCCATATAAGGATAAATCAGGGTTGCACAGTAATTAACATGAGCTAATGACATTTTTGTGAAATACATGTTGGCTGTTCTATGAAAAATCACAGAAATGAATTTTAGAAATTATTTTATCAGAAGAATTTAATTTGATCTAGTCTAAAGTGAGGGGGGAAACTAGGTGAAGTTCAGTGGGCATTCTCCCAAAAAATGTAAATGTATCGTTATCTGTGTTTATTATCCAGAAATAGAGAGTCTTACCTCTTACATAGAAAATCTGACAAGTGTAACTCAAAGGCACCTTTGTAGTCTTAGATCAACTCTTTGATCAAATCTTTCTGTACTGTTATATAAAACTGTTCCGTTTTATATCTGATCTTATTGGACTATTAAAAATTATTTTAATAAATAATTATTATATTACATTACATTACATTACATTATATTATATTATATAAAACCAGATTGATTGCACTGGCCATTATTTTTATGCAGAATGGTACTTTTATGTCAAGTTAAAGATTAGTCTTTTTGTCTTTGTCTGTCAGATAATAGTTGTACCCCCAGCCAACATCCAGATTTAAAAATCATGAGCAATGTAATAGAAGAAACTGAATTCATTGTAACACTGGGATTAAAAAAAAAAATCAAAGAATTCCCCAGATTGGCAGTTGGTTATTATTCCCAGAAACTCTGATAACAATCCATTAAGTAATTTCAGCAATAACCCATCAATATCCCCAGTTTCGTTTTGCTCTAATTGAGGTTGTTATAGAGAGGAAATGCTGGGATGAGAGAGCGTGTTAGATATGCCCCTCCCATCTCCCTGCAGTATAAATTCACTTACGCCTGCTGTGGAGAGTCAGACTATTAGCAGAGTATCACCACTGCAACAGCATTAACAGCAAGTGAAACGCCTCTGGATTACTTTCTACACAGACTTCTGAAGCCAACCCAAGAGTACTTCAACACAGGTATGCATTTTTAAAGGAAGCTTATGTGTTTCTGTTAGCTGCTCAGTGTCTTTTCTTTTAGGGTCAAGGCTCATATGCATAGGTTATCTGTAGTTATATAAGAAACTGAGTCCCAGTTTTGCATCTGTAAGCCAGGGAACTTGCTTCTGTCTGTTAGGCAAAAACTTAATCTCATTTGAAGGGAATTTGAGTGATTTTTTTTAATTAGGTGCGGATGGAGTTAAAGACACTGTGTTTTGTAAAAACCCACTGTTTTGTACATCATTGTCCCTTTTACTGCTTATCAGTGACCTGAAGCACAGTTGCAAGTTTACTTATTCATAGAAAGTGCGACCTCAGTTTGACATTGTAAATAAATGCATGATGAATGTAAATAGCGTGGATTTTGGACTCTTGTGCAAGCGTGAGCAAAGCATGGTTGGCACAGAGTAGGGGAGTTGCATGCAGGTTTCAGCTGCTTCCTTTCAAAGTGGATATCTAACAGATGATTCATTTGCTTTTTCCTTCAAGGTTTCAGTCACGATGCAACTGATTCTGCAGTCAATCTTCTGCTGCTGCCTGCTGGCCACCTTTGCACCTGGTGTGGACGGTGCAAAACATGACCTGAAAAGAAGGTAAGCTGATGTGTTGATTTAGGATTTTTAGTCAGGGTTGGAACTGGTTGAAAAGTTTCTAATGAACGTGTTTTCTCTTCTTGATACTTAGTGTCCGGCTGCAGAGATCAAGAAGGGATTTGAGCCTTGCTGCACTGAGGACTTTAGACAACAGCCAGTTTGTCAGACCGGACGATGTCAAAGACAACTTAAGGCCACATTCCAGGTAAGAATTAGCAAGCGTTACCAGCTGAAAATTATGTCACTGTTTTCTCTAAGTTAAGTGTGGTTTCACATGATGAAGTTGGAGTACAAACTTGTCAACCAAGGAACATTAAACTAAAACAATTGCTCAGGAACTCCATGCAGGCATTAATGTCCTCTTCCCTTGTCTGCCTTTCCAGCACTGGCATCAGCATAAGGACAAAACGCTCCAAGAACTCCATCAACCAGTCCAGGAGAGCGGGCTGCTCGCTTGGCACCTGCACGGTGCATGTGCTGGCACACCGACTCCATGACCTCAACAACAAGCTGAAGATCGGGAATGCACCCGCTGACAAGATCAATCCCTTCGGGTACGGCCGGCGGCGAAGGTCCGTTCCAGAGAAAGTAATGACACTGCGACAGGAGGGCAGCAGGCTGCGGACGGTGTGGAGCAGCTCAAACTCTCAATCACGGCTGCACAAGCTGGAAGCGCAGCTCAGACGGACGTGAGCGCATGGGGTGGGAGTGCTCTGGGACACTGCGACAGAGGCTCGCCGGCCAGCTATGAAATTCTAGAAATGCCTCAGACTCCTGCCAAGAGTTCTCCAGCGCATTCTTTTCCAAGCACAGGGGCTGGAAGAGCAATCTTGCCTTCCTCGGAAGAGAAATCAACAAAGAGCAGCGCAGAAACAACAGCAGCTGTTGAAAATGAGGAGGGGATGCAGATGGAGAAACTGAATTAAGTGTGCCTTGGATATGAGCAAGATATCATTGCACTGAAGTGGACTGGCCTCAGGGAAAAGCAGAACCTCCTCTCTTGGGACAAATGGACTGCCCTCCTGGTGAACCTGTCAGTGGGAATTCAGCCCCTAGTTTAGCTGTTCCTGTCCAGTGACTGTGTCGTCAGAAAGTCTTTGGACTTCAACAGGGAAAGATTCATGATTCTAGAAAGGAATACACAGAGACTTTTAAAATGCCAGTGAAGGTGTTTCTAATTTGGTGGGAATTCAGCCCCTAGTTTAGCTGTTCCTGTCCAGTGACTGTGTCGTCAGAAAGTCTTTGGACTTCACAGGGAAAGATTCATGATTCTAGAAAGGAATACACAGAGACTTTTAAAATGCCAGTGAAGGTGTTTCTAATTTGGAATCACATTTTTGGACACTGTAAGCAGGATGAATGCCTTTGATTATATGAACTGTCAGTGCCAGTCCACAAGGATCGTATTCTAACTTACTTGAACATTGTTGTTGTTATTTGTGTAGAGATATGTGCAATCTATTTCATTTTTTATTGCAAGTATATGTATATTTGAAAAAAAAAAAGGTCAAAGATATTACTATTTAATTAGTTTTATATTACTTAATACTACTTACAGAGATAGAGCTATTTTTGTACAGGGAAAACATAAGGGCATTGAAGGTAGCGTTATATTGATTATTCATTTATGTCAAGGATGTCTCAAGCTGTGGTATAGGATCACTTTTTATGCAATTATATATTTGTAAATGGGATCTATTTTATTTGTGTGCTTGTGTGTGAAATGGATTAATGTTGTCATTCAATAAACTTTTGCATACAATTAAAGCTGATGTCTTCTGGACCTCGACTGTTTGTTCTACAGGAAGTGAAGGTAGTAAAAGGAAAGTGTCTCTCCATTGTTCCTCATCCGGATTGCCAAGTGGACAGACAGATGATCAGCACCTGGTCTGGGTTATTTAATGTTAAAGGCCCTGGGGTG